CTTCCTATTCGACGTTCTGCCTCCAGAGGAAGCGACGGAAGAAACGAACGCTGGCGCTGCAGGAAAGGGACTGCGTCTCCGCCAGATAGACGTGAGTTGGGACCATCCTGATGAGTCGCTAGATCTGATTACTCTGAAGAAGAAAAACTAGGCCGATGAAGATGAACCACTAAAGATTCAAGAGTAAAAATCTTCTTTGTTAATTGCAATTGGCTACCTGGTACTGCAAATTCATCTTCGGCCTGTTCTCGAGCGACGTTAGAGCTTTATGTATCCGCTTTCGGTCTTCTTGGGTGGATTGATTAATTGCACCTCGATCCCGAATAGCCGACACATGTTGATTTGATGATCAATATTGAGCTTTTTCTTCAGCCTTGGTCATGTCACATGTTGATGCTGTATGTTGGTTTGTGTGTCTCTCTACTAATCACCCTCCGCCCGGCCGTACAAGTTCCTGGCCTTTCATATGCTGATGTAAATGAGGCTTGGAAAGTGACGGAGTGACCGAGTTCAACAGTATGAAAGTGTTTGGAGTTGACTGATGGGCTATTGCACAACTTAAAGAGGCGCTGTTGGATTCGATGGCTTTGATTAAATCCGACGGTGATGGACAAATCTGACCGCGGTCATTTTTTTCTGTCTAAGGATTTTAGCAATCCAGATGCGGCGGTCTATGGGGTGTGCCATTACCTTACTGCTGCTGAATCTACTCAAACTATCATCTACCGTCAAATATCATAACAGGCTACGCCTACGGGAAATGTGGTATAAATAACTAAGTACAAGTTCATCTCCATCTGGCGCATATCGGTAGGTCTTGGCTAAACATGTAAGCTCGCATAAATAGATTCCCTGAAAAGCAGCATGTAAGCTCGCTTATACAGATAGCTATAAGGTTTAGGCTAGCGCTCAAGCCAGAAAGGCAAAGGGCGCAGCTCCTAAGTAGACAAGCAAACTCGAGCTAAATCTGCTTTACAGAGTGGCGCGCTAAACAAGATAATGCGAATTTTCCTGCTATTGTAGTAGTTGTGGTTGTGATGGTGTTACTTGGAGAACAAGTTGTGGTTGTAGTTGTGGTTGCCTGAAGAGGAAGAGGAGGGCTTCGTATGAAGGTCCAGCTGTTCGCGAACTTTGGCGCGTTTTGTCTTCGGTTGAGCTTGAACTTGATGATGAAGAAGGCTTCACCTCGAAAAACCTTCTTACGGAGAGAGGTGCGCAGCTCCAGCTGAGAGAAGAGAAGCTATACTAAATGGAAAGAACAGCAGCAAATATAGAACACCTTAACCTTTGGAAACAAAAGGTAGGTTTGTGGCAAAAGGTAGGGAATAACGTTTAACCGCTCGTAAGTCTCAATTTCTAGCCATTTATAAGCTGTAGCTCCTGGCCATTTACAAGCTTTAGCCCCTAGTCGTTATACATAACAGGCCCCTAGCCATTATAGGGATTAGATCACAACCACCACCATTCATGTAGATAAGTATAGATAAGCCGTACACACATAAGCGCCTGCATTAAACAAGCTACCACATAAAGCACCACTAAATAACAAAGGGTTGAGTTTGTGGCTGCCTATGTGGCCCAACAGCCAACATTTAAGTTAAGATAGAAAGCGCGAAGTCCTAGCCTAGCATGAGAATAAAAATAGAATAAGATAGAAATAGAAATATAAAACTGTCCCCACGGCTGCTTGCGCGGTCAGGCAGTTACTTTTTTTATAAGTGACAGAATGTAAACTGCTCCTACGGCTGCTCGCGCGGTTTGGTGGTTTACATCAAAAATGCTTACAAATAAATAAATAGTTACTATTCCATAGGGCCCCGCAATGGCCAACTAAAAGAACGAAGTAAAAGCTAGATGTAGAGCAAAGACCCTTAAGGCGCGGCCGCACTATCTAGCGTGATCTAAAGGAAGTTGAATGAGAAATACCCTCCCAAGCATGACCTTTGATGGTGGTTGTTGTTGCTATGAAGTGCCTCGAAATAATCTTTCTTGTTGACCTACAACTGCGAGGAGATCCCTGCTTGGTGTCCTGCATGTTAGTGGTCTGAATGTTGAAGGTATGAAGCAGAAAGATCCAAAATGAAAATGAAAACAAAAATAAAAATAGTATAACCAAAATAAAAAGAAGCTGCCAAAAAATGGAATGTTGATGTTGATCCCCCTGCAAGTTTTGCGGAGCATTGATGTCGGCCATACGTGTGAAGCTCGTTGTGGTGATGGAAATAAGTGGAATGATGGCAAGAAAGTTGGTGTGTGCTTAAAGTAAAGATACTAATAATTAGTAGGATTATTAGGATGACTGATGGTTTTAGGTCATTACTCTCCAGAATGTTGGGCAAGTAGAACTATGGGGTAGTTGATAGATTGGCTTTTTTGTCCTTGTCAACTTTGGTTTTTCTTCCACCTGTTACATTAACCTTGTGCCAATTTTATCTCCTGCCATTTTTACAGTAGGAGGCATAGTCAATCATCCATAGTAGGCCAATCAACCATCCACACTCACATTCTCCAGCGGAGAAAATTCCTCGCGTTCCCCTGAGACCTCGTCCTTTTCGACTCGGGCTCTAAAAACCGTCACCTCTTATCATCTCCCAGAACACCTCGAACTTGTAGGAAGTGACACAGATACGTCCGCACATGAGGAAGCAGTAACCTAAGCGCTAGCAACACTGAATAAAAGCACTAAAAACAAGTAATACGTGTTCAACTAGAAAAAACAAAAATAAGAGGAGAGCCAAAAACAAGAAACATCAAAAGCTTGATCCGATCACTCTTCTTATTAATTCTCCGGTGCTAGGAAGAAAACCACAGGAGCGATGCCGAACATGAAGAATAGAGGCGACTTTAATATAATCTGGCCACTTGTTCATGTTCTTGGCTCCCTTCTTTCACCAGAAGCAACAAGGATAGCTTATTTCTTATTCGATAGCATACGCATCATCATCATCATCATCTGACCACTTAATAGACTCTTTTTTTTTCTTTGGCTCATTACATATTTATAGAGCGTCACGGTCACGGTGGCTGGCCTTGTGGGTCATCTCTGTTCTAGGCAGCAAAATCTCTGTTCTTAAATGATAGATTTTTACCGATCATAAGACCCATAATGCAGCTAAGGCGAGTAACANTGTGGGTCATCTCTGTTCTAGGCAGCAAAATCTCTGTTCTTAAATGATAGATTTTTACCGATCATAAGACCCATAATGCAGCTAAGGCGAGTAACAAGATGACATAGAAGATTACTTGCGATAGTCTGTAATGAAGTTTCTTGTTGTTGTACAGAATGAAGCCTGAGCTTCTAGAGTTCGATAGGGTAATAGTGATAGTCGTACTTCTTCATAAAAGTGGAGATCGTGAGAAGATATATTTTTACTAATCCTTTAGCTTTACTATATTACATACGAATTAAGAAAGGATTAGAAGAAAAAAAGCACACTGTTGCAGGTTATCCTGTCAAATGAAACTAGCAAGCATGATAGCAGGCCTTTTTACTGAAGATCTTCTAAAAAAGAGAAGGAGCCCAATAATCCGAAAAAGAGAAACCCAATCATCTGAAAAAGCAAAGCAGATCTGCCCCCACTTGCTGGCGTTGCAAGCCTTTGCACCAGTTGCAAGAAACTTAGAAGGAGAAGACAGCTATGTGCGCAGCTCAAGCACAGCTCGGTGTAGTAGAGTAGATTCTTTTTCGGAGTTTTCGTAGTCGTGTTGAACGCTCACCTCTCCGAGGCGAGTCAATTCCTATCCTATCCTCTGTGTTCTATATTCTTGAGACATAGCTTTAGCAGAAGAGTCTTCCAAGTACATTTCTCATAGTTGTGTTGCAGTTCTGCTTGAGGATCAACAGCCCTATTTGCAGCTCTACTTGACGACTAGAAAAAGTCAGAACCATACGGTCTAACTTCTAAATTATCAACAAGCAAACAGCCCGAGCCCTGGGTTGGGTACATCATAAAAAAAAAGAAGATCTTTCAACTTCTCTAGACAACACACCTCTCGACTCGACGAATGAATGAAGAAGAGACAAGAGAAAGCTCATCTTTGCAATCAATTTCATGATCAATCGCTGTTCTTGGTCGTGCTGGAGGTCGGAATACGAGGATCTTCATTGAGAGCCGCAAATGGATTTCATTTTCAAAGATCATGAACGTCAAGTTCTCAACTCGAAGATCGACGCAAGAACGCCTTCAAATTCAATCACTGAAACATTGTCGAAGTCCTCTCTACTCTCAAACAGCCAAAAAACAGGTAATTCTCGCTCGAGAGACTCCTTTTTGTTAGGAGAAGCAACTCAGATCAACTGCAAACTATATTTCTATCAACATAGACCTGAACAAGTTTGACATTATTGAAGGTAATAAACAATATATTTTATATTGTTCAACATCAACAGCCCCACGCTTTTGTCCTACAACTAGTCGTGTACTATTACAAGGGAAAGAAAAAGAGATGGTCGGGAGATACGAAGAGCCAACCCGTCAAGACAGCTGGTCTCCGACCACGCGCATTCTCATCATTGTAGGCCTCTCGGTGCTGGGCATTGGTGCTATTGCTGGCATCACAGTGGGCATCGTGATGGCATGCGGGGGTTTTTCTTCCTCCTCCGCGAGTGGCCCTTTTTCCGCTTCTGGTCGTGGGTCTAATCTTCCTCCTCATTTCCGTGCCAGAGGTGCAGGTGCCCCGGTAGCTCCTAGTGGATTTGGAGGGCTTCCATTCACAATGACGACTGGTGGCAGAGGCTCTGCTCCTGGTCGC